GGACTGAGAGGTACTGGTTCGGTTCCTGGTCAGGGCACATGCCTGGGTTACGGGCTTGATCCCTAGTCGGGGGCATGCAGGAGGCAGCCAATAGATGTATCTCTCTCACATTGATGTTTCTATCTCTCTCTCTCTTTCTCTCTAAAATCAATAAAAACATTTTAAAAAATAAAAGAGTTTCTTCTAGATAACGTATATTTGGATCTTGTTTTTATGTCCATCTGACAGAATCTGTCTTTTAGTTATATTTAGACCATTGATGTTTAAAGTGATTACTGATATAACAGTTGAATTAATATCTACATATTTATTACTATTTTTTAGTTATTGCCTCTTTTTGTGTGTGTGTGTGGTCTTTGTTTTTGTTTTCCACTCTTTTTCTGCTTTTGGTGTTAATTGAGCATATTGTATTATTTCATATTTTTCTTAATTAGCATATCAGTTATACTTTTTAAATGTTTTTAGTGGTGAGGATTTAAAAAGAATATATTTTGCAGTTGCTGAACATAATTTTTCATAAATCTTAATTAGATTAAGATGGTTTATGGTGTTGTTTACATCTCCAACTCTGTGAATTTACTTTCTCCTTTCTTCAATTTTGTCCATTTTACTTCATGTACTTTGAATCTCTGTTATTAGGTATATACACATTTATGATTGTTGTTTTCCTCATGAATTGACCATCATTATGGAATATTTTGCATTGTGTCTGGTAATACATAGGTATCTTAAAATCTGCTTTTTGTAAAATTAATATAGTCTCTCCAGCCTTCTTATGCTTTATTGTTTGCTTTCCACTTTTCATCTCTTGTGGGTCTTGATTTTTTATTCACTTTGACACTCTCTAGCTTTAAATTAGTATTTTAGTCCATTTACATTTAATGTAATTTTGACAAGGTTATATTTAGACTGTTTGGTTTCTGTTTGTATCCTCTGGTTTTTATTCCTTTCTTTCTCCTTTCTTGCCTTCTTTTAGGTTCATTTACTACTTTTTACAATTCAACTTTAATCTGTTGAGTTTATAGCTATACTTTCCCTGCATTATTATTCTTTTAGTGGTTGCCATAGAGATTATACTATACTTATTAAAGTTAATATTGTACAGCATTATGTTAAATGTAAGAACCTATGTCTGTCTATATAGGTTCCTCTCTGCCCTGTACTGTGAGCTATAAGTATCATATATATTATAGTCTCACACATTGTTAACCCCACAGTACAGTATTAAAAACATTTGCCTTAAACGATCACACATTTAGCACTGGCTGGTGGGGCTCAGTCGGGTGAGTGTCATCATGTACCAAGAGGTCGCCAGTTTGATTCCTGGTCAGGGCACATGCCCAGGTTGCAGGCTTGATCCCAAATAGGGAGCATGCAGGAGGCAGGTGATTAATGGTTGTCTCTCACCGATGTTTCTCTCTCTTCTCTCTTTCTCTTTCTCTCTAAAATCAATAAAAAAATTAAAAAAAATAAACACTCATACATTTTATAGAAATTAAGGAGATAAAAATAGTCTTTATATTTCTACATTTACTTGCAGCTTCCAATATTAATCTTTTTTTTAATCTAAGTTTTCATCTGTATTATGTGCCCTTAACCTGAACAACTTAAATAACGTTTCTTATAGTGTCAGTCTACTGATGAGGAGTTCTCTTAGTTTTCACTTACCTGGAAATATGTCTGTTTTGTTTTTATTCTTTTTTATTTTTATGTTTTCATTGTTAGTATTGCAGATATCCCATTTTTCCCCATTGACCCCTTCCTTTCTGCTCCTACTCCCCTCCTGCTTTCCCCAACTAATGTCTGTGTCGATTGGTTGTGCTTTTTATGCATATAAGTTCTTTGGTTTATCTCTTCCCACACTTTCCACCTCCATCTTTCTGACGTTTGTTAGTCTGTGTCTTTATTCTTTTTTAAAACATTGTTTTATTGATTGATTGATTTGAGAGAGCGAGAGAAACACTGATTTGTTGTTCCACTTATTTATGCATTCATTGGTTGGTTTTTGAATATACCCTGATTGGGAATCAAACCCGCAACCTTGGCATATTGGGACCATGCTCTAACCAGCTGAACTACCCAGCCAGGGCTTGTCTTTATTCTTGAAGGGTATTTGGGGGGAGAATGGAATTCTGGATTTACTGTGTTTTTTTGTTTGTTTGTTTTGTTGTCGTTGTTTTCTTTCTCTCAACTGAAGATGTCACACCACTGCCTTATGTTCTCCATTTTTTCTGATTTGAAGTCAGCATTCATGTGTACTTGTTCCTCTTTTTGTATTGTTATTTTTCTCTGGCTGTTTTTAAGATTTTTCTCTTTCATCTTTGATATTCAGTGGTTTGATTATGATCCTAATTTTGGGTCACTGCTTGGGAGTCTCAGATCTTCTTGAATATATAAATAGATCTTTCACCAAACTTGGGTTTTGGGGGCTATTACTTCATGAAATATTTTTTGGTCTCATTTTCTCCTCTTCTGGAACTCCACCTAAATGTATCTCAGACCTTTTAGTATTGTCCCATGGATCCCCGAGGCTTTGTTCATTTTTTGCTCTTTTTCAGATTATTTTCTCGTAGACTGTCTTCAATTTCACTGACTCTTTTTGTCTTTACTGTTGTACTCTATATCCATCAAGCAATTATTTTACTTCTGATACTGTATTTTTCAGTTCTAGAATGTGCTTTTGTAAAAAAGTTTTTCTCTGTTTATTCTTTATGAGCATATAATCCTGTGTGTCCATTAGCCATCATTATAGTAACTACTTTAAAATCTTTGCTAAATCCAGATCTGTTTCATCTTGCGATTGGTCTCCATTGCTTTTCCTTTGAGTATTGAGTTTTGTTTTTCTATTTCTTTATAGATCTGCTAATTTGGGTTGTATTCTGGACATTATAAATGATACCTTGTAGAGCCTCTGGATATTGTTATATTCCTCCAGAGTGTTGATTTATATAATTTTGTTTCAGCACAGTTAATTTAATTAGTTCAAAATTGCAAGCTCTGCCTGCCTTGTAGAGGGCAGCAGCTAAAATACTGTTTTTTTGCTTAATTGTAGTACTTAGAGACTGTCCTGTGCATCCTAGTTTTTTTAGTAACCAGCCTGAGATTTTAGTTTTTTCATATATATTTGGGATTTCCTCTTTGACTTTTACCTTTTCAGTACTCTGTTCTCTGATTCTTCATGCATCGAAGACTGTGGGTTTCTATCTGTGTTTTAGCCATACTCCTTTCCCCCTTTAGCAGCCACTGGCTAGAAGCCTTACATTAAACTCACTTAGGGCTTTCCTTTCTTCCAAGCATTGATGCCTACTCCAATTTATTCTTATTTTTGGCCACTCTACAGTGCCTTCAAGTAATTGTTTTATAATAGGTTGCCCAGGTTTTATAGTTAATATCAGAGGGAAAGTTGGTCTAATAGGAACTACTTGGTAGATACTAGAAATGGAAATTCTCCCATATTAGCCATGAAAGTTGGAATTACAGTAGCCTTGAAACAGTAGAATTATAACTATTATTTATAAAGTACTTTTGTTATAAAAGCACTTTAATGTAGAGTATCTGATTTACCGTGATTATTAAGGATATAGTAGGCAGAATACTAAATACCCATGTGCCGCTGCACTTTGGTACAAGAACCTGGGGTGGAAGTGAATCTGAAGTATAAATTCATAATAATGTGTATAACAAAATATGATAGCTAAAGCAAGAAGTTGGGGAGGAAGATACTAGGGAAACTTTAGGTATGAGAAAGAAGAGAATTTTTTGCCTCTGGGCAGATGAACTTGTCACCAAGTAAATGGACACTAAGAATAAATATGTAAAACCTTTTTTGCTACATGGTTCTTTCAGAGGTCCTATAAATTTCAGTTTAAGCTTCCTTGGACAGCCTTTTCTCTCCCTACTCTCTAAGGTAGGTTGCAGTTTATATAACATAATCTCCCTACCTCCTGTTCTTTTTTATGGGACCCATCATTTCACTGTGTTACTTTTTTACTTTTAAAACATAAAATAATAACATTTATTGCTGTTTGTAATGTTTTATTTTATTTATTTTTAAATATTTTTTAATTGATTTTAGAGAGAGAGAAGGGAGAGGGAGAGGGAGAGATAGAAACATCGATGAGAGAGAACATTGATTGGCTGCCTCTTGCATGCCCCCCACTGGGGATCGGGCCCACAACCTGGGCATGTGCCCTGACTGGGAATCGAACCAGCGACCTCTTGGTGCATGGATCAATGCTCAACGAGCGAGCCACACTGGCCAGATGCTATTTGTAATGTTTTAAAATGAAGTTATACTGTTCACTCTATGAGGAGAGGGAACATATGTTTGTATGCCCAGCTCCTAGCCCACTGTCTAATGCATTAGATGCTCAGTCCATATATTCTGAGGAATGAAGGAATGAATATATATAAATACACATACATGCATAGATACATACATGAGTATCAAGGAATGCAAAATAAGTTATACACATCTGTTGTAGTCAGTCTTAAACTCTTTAGTAGAGTTCAGGTTTTATTTATTTATTTTACTTAGATTTTGAAGTAAGCGATAGGCATGAGTTTAAAGAAAGTTAAATTGAAGACCACATTGGGAAAGGAAAGGAGTGGCAAGATTTGGGGAAATTAATAAAATAATATTGGCAAGAGTTGAGAGCTACTTTTTAGATTAGCAATAACATTTTTTTTAATACAGAGAAAGGTACTAGTTCGTGGGAAAAATTTTTAAAGTTAACTAGGCAAATGTATGGAGTTCTAGAAAATACAGAGAACAGGAATAATATGTAAAGGATAATTTGTAAAGGATAATTCAGGCAGTGATCTTGAATAGTAAGACACCTGAAGCATGGATATGAGTGGTAAAAAGCAATCAGTGCTTTTCATACCCTCTTGTTTCTGTGTTCCAGGGTTCCCAAGTGTTCATGATAGGGAACAAAAAGCAAGTATTTATAGGCTGTTGTAATCAGATTTCTTTGTAGTAAAACTTTCTTGCTCCACAGCTCTTGGATAAGCACAAGAATACAGAGAGCATGGTGGAGCTTCTGGACTTGTATCAGATGGAGGATGAAGCCTACAGCAGCCTGGCAGAAGCCACAACTGAACTCTATCAGTATTTACTACAGCCATTCCGAGACATGAGAGAACTTGCCATGCTACGAAGACAGCAGATCAAGGTATTTTTTAAAACCTAAATAGTAACCTGCCTGTTTCATAGTGTTGGTTGGCCATGCATCTTAATTACTAGAGGAGCTTTTTAAAAATGTACTTATCTGGTTCTTTATCCCCAAAGATTCTAGTTTGATAGGTTTGGGTTACATACAGCCTGAGCACATCATTTTAAAGCATCTCAGAAGGTAATTCTGCTGAGTAGCCATGGAGAACAGCTTAGAAAGTACAATTGTAAATTCAGTGAGAGATCCCTTCCCCCTTTCCTTTACTTCTCTCTCTATTCGGTCTCAATAGATGGATGCATAAATAAGTGGAACAGCAAATTGATCTCTCTCTCTCTCTCTCACTGTCTTTGTCTCTCTCTGTCTCTCCCTTCCTCTTTCTCTCTATTCAATCAATAAATAAAAAATTTTAAAAAAGAAATTAGCAGTTACTCTGGGAACTTTATGATTGGGAGCAAGGATTAGTATATTTGAAAAATTAGGATAAAGTGAAGCAATCTGTATTATTTTCACTTTCCTAGTGAATCAGGATATAGAGCAGCACAGACTTAGACACACACTTGACTCACACTCTCATTTATTAATACTTTTGAAAAATATTGGGTTGTTAGTTTATCATAAACTTGGTATTTTGGTTAAAATGGTAGATTATTGTAAATAAGCAATAATATTTAGACACTAGAATATACTCCAAATTTTTTAAATTAAATATAGATTTTTGTCATTTGAGAACTTGGCTGGAGGGCAGGAATAACTGAATGACATGGAGGCCCCATCCACTTCTAAACCAGCCTACAATGTTTAGCAGACGTAATGTTTCACTTAGCATTGCCTATCAAAATCTGTGCATTTTACTCTAATATTAATTATATCAAGATTTGTATTGAGACTTCTGGTCAAGATAGCAGTGAAGGTAAACGCAGTACTTGCCTCCTCCCAAAACCACATCAAAATTACAACTGAACTATAGAACAAATATCCTTCAGAACTGCCTGAAATCAAGCTGAATGTAAGTCCTACAACTACAAAATTAAAGAAGCCACATTGAGACTAATAGGAGGGGTGGAGGCACATACATGGTGGTCCCACACCCACGTGTGGCGGATAAAAATCAGGAGGGACACCTCAGCTGTGAAGGTCCTCCTTAAGGAGCAAGGGATCCCTGTCCCTCACCAGGCCCCCCAGCTGAGGAACCAGTGCCAGAAAGAAAAGTCCCCATAACTAACCAGTGGGGATTGAGGCTGAGGGAGGATGAGGCAACTAGAGCCCCAGGCAGTTCCTCTTAAAGGGCCCACTGATGGATTTATTCAAACTCCCACCCTCCAGGCTCCAATAGTGGGTGGGAGTGCAGGGGGGCAGCTTGAAAGGCACCAGAGACATACCGGAAAGAACTGAGTTGTTTGGCATAGGGCAAGGGCTGGAGAGGCAACTTTCTCCCACTAGACAGATGTGTTGGCAGAGGCCATTATTCCTTAGGTGAGCCCTTCCCCCACAAGGCCTGCAGGTGGCTGCCATATTTGAGACTCCAGCAACCTGGCTCACACTGTTTGTCTGCCCTGGTGACACCCTGAGGCCCTGCCCCACTCAACTTTGGGCGCACCCAAGCTGTTTCCAGTGGCTTTCCCATAGGATTGGCCTGTTTTGGCTCCTGCTGTAGATTTTTCTAAATTCCCTCAAACAAGCATTAGCTGGCCACAGTGAGCCCCATATCTCTCTCACCAAGTGACCCCAGACCTGGCACTAGAAGCAGCAAAACTTGATTCATAGCTTGGCTTTGCCTGGGCACCTCCAAGCCCAGCACAAGATGCAGCCATCAGCAGATTGCTTTGTAGCTTATGCTTGGTGGCCCTGGGTAGAACACAGGCAGTGGCTGACTTTGCCCCAGAGCCAGCACACCCAGTGGACAGCTTTAGACCGTGTCAAAGCACCACCACCCAATCACCTCCACAAGTGACACACTCAAGGAATGGACTCAGTGGGTACCAGAGCCCTGCTGAAGTAAGTCTTGCTCTGTGTTGTGGGTCCCTGCACAGCTGATCATCCAAGGTAGTCAGGGGTTGGTGGTTAGTGGGCAAAGCCAGTGTTTGCAGCTGATCCGCCTGACTAAAATCCTCCCATTGACATGCCAACAGCAATTAAGATTTAATTACAACAGAAGGGTGGACAGTGCACATGAGGAGTGTACCTCGAGGGCACAGCTGGGAGGCTGTGCCACTGGACCTTACAGGATACCTACTACAACAGGTCACCTTAGGAAGCCTAAGAGACATAGCAACTCTATCTAATTCATAGAAGCAAACATAGGGAGGCAGCCAAAATGAGGAGACAAAGAAACATGTCCCAAATGAAGGAACAGAACAAAACTCCAAGAAAAGAACTAAATGAAATGAGATAAGCAATCTAACAGATGTAGAGTTCAAAACACTGCTTATAAGGATGCTCAATGAACTTAGAATTTCAAGGAACTTTGTGAGGACCTCAAGAGTATAATAAAGGACCAGTCAGAAATGAAAGATGCACTGACTGAAATAAAGAATAATTTATAGGGTTTCAATAGTAGAATAGGTGAAGGCAAGAAGCAAAACATCAATTTGGAATATAAGGAAGCAAAAAACACCCAATCAGAACAGCAAAAAGGAAAAAGAATCCAAAAAAAATGAGGATAGTATAAGAAACCTCTGGGACAGTTTCAAGCATACCAACATTCCCATCCTGGGGGTGCCAGAAGGAGAAAAGAGAGGGCAAGAAATTGAAAACCTATTTGAAAAACTGACAGAAAACGTTCTAACTTGGTGAAGGAAACAGACATATAAATCCAGGAAGCACAGAGAGTCCCAAACAAGATGAACCCCAAGAGGCCCACACCAAGACACATCATCATCAAAATGCAAAAGGTTCAAGACAAAGAGAGAATCTTAAAAGCAGCAAGAGAAAAGCAGATAGTTACTTTCAAGGGAACTCCCATAAGTCTGTCAGCTGATTTCTCAAAAGAAACTTTGCAGACCAGAAGGGAGTGGCAAGAAATATTCAGAGTGATGAAAAGCAAGGACCTACAACCAAGATTATGCTATCCTGCAAAGCTGTCATTTAGAATTGATGGCCATATAAAGGCTTTCCCAGATAAGAAAAAACTAAAGGAATTCATCACCACCAAACCAGTATTATGTGAAATGTTGACAGGTCTTCTTGAAGAAGAAGAAGATAAAAAAATATATATGAGCAATAAAATGGCAATAAATACATATCTATCAACAGTTGAATCTACAAACAAAATGAGCAAGCAGAACAGTAACAGACTCATAGATACAGAGAACTTTTTGTTGGTTGCCCAATGGAAAGGAGGTTAGGGAAAAAGATGAAGAGATTAAGATGTACAAATTGGTCATTTGGCTCAGCGGTTAGAGCGTCGGCCCGCGGACCAGAGAGTCCTTGATTCAGTTCCCGCTAAGAGCTTGTACCTCAGTTGCGGTTTGTCCCTGGGCCCGGTTGGGGTCATGTGGGTGGCGTTTACTCAATGTCTCTTTCTTGCATCGATGTTTCTCTCTCTCTGTTCCTCCCTCTCTCCCTCCCGCTGGATCTGAGGATAGGTGCAGAAATGTCCTTGGGTGAGGATAAAAAAAACAACAAATAAGTAGTTAGACTAAGGAACCTCAAAAGGAAGCGGGTGGGGGGGGGTGTCAAAGAACTTACATGCATATATGCCTAACCAATAGACACAGACAATAGTGTAGGGAAGGCAGGAGAAGGGGGGATCAAGGGGGGGAAGAAGTGACATAACATTCAACAATAAAGATAAGTTTAAAAAGAAAAATTTGTATTGAGTATTAACATTAACAAATTGATTGAACCTACTTATCCACTAGCATCACTTACTGCTACATTTTTCCTATAAAGCAAAATATAGGTAAGGAGCAATAGACAAGAAAATTATTTTTATTTTTTATCTTCATTGTTGAGAGTATTACAGATGTCCCCCCGTTTTTCCCCATTGCCCTCCTCCATCTGGTTCCCGCCCCACCCAGGCTTTCACCACCACCCTGTTGTCTGTGTCCATGGGCAATGCGTATATGCATATAAGTTCTTTCTGTTAATGTCTTCCTGCCCCCCACCACCCTACACACAGAGCCCCCAAGATTCATTAGTCTGTTCCATGCCTCTGGTTCTATTTTATTAATCAGTTTATTTTATTCATTAGATTCCACATATAAATGAGATCATGTAAATTTATAACTATTTTAAAGGTAAATATGGTATTTTACTGTTTACTGTAGTTCTATTTCTATGATATTGCTCCTAAATGCCCAGTCAACTGTGACTACTACTCTTGTTCTTTACCCTTGTGAAGTTTCACATAGAAGTATTCGGTTTAATACAGTGTGTCAGACCAGTGTATTAAATGGTGCCATTAGATAAAATAGCTAATTTAATACTTATAACAACTCTGTAACTTAGGAGCTCTTATTGTCCCTACTATGAAAATTAATATTGGATTAGGATGATTTATGTAGCGTGTTCATAGCTAGTTAGTAAATGTCAGAGCTGGTACAGTACTCAAATATAAGTCTCTCTGATCCCAAAGAACTTGGGCTTTTTGTCTTGTTTTTCACATTACTGGTTACTAGTTAATTTTAAGTTAGAAAATTTATACTCAGTTAAAAAGCAATTATAATTGATTTGGTAAAGTATTTGTTCTAAGTGTACTAAAAACTATTACTTATTTTGTACATTATTACTGTGTGGATGTTTGTAATACAAATATTTAGTTCTCATGAAGATAACTTACAGCCAATTGACTTATAATTGGAGCATTTGTTTCTGTGTTTTAAAATGTATTCCTGTTACTAAATTAGGCTAGCCTTATTAATAAAAATATTTTTCTGGCACAAACTTGCAAATTAATTTTTGAATCTTACTTTAGTAAGATCTATTTAGTAAGCTTCGTATTAAGGTACAGAATTTGTGCGTAAAATAGAGGAAAATTTCATTCTGACAATAATGCCATT